CACACACACACACACACACATACACACACACATACACAAAAAGAAAAAAACAAATTTCATTATAAATTTTTATTGAAATTGTTTGTATGAAATGAAAAATTTGAAGACGAAGCAAAGACATTTCTTGATCCCTTAATTTTAACATTTCACGTGATATTTTTCAAAAAATTTCTACGTAACATAAATTTAAATTAATCGATTTGAATAATCTTCATAATGTTAAAATGTCTCGCGAATGTTTTTTGATTTTCAAAAACTTACTATTTGCAAAAAAATTAGCAAAATCAAAAATAATTTAATTTGCTAATTATTTGCGGGTAACTAGTAAATTAAAAGATATTGAAATCTTTCGGTGCAGTAAATTAAATGTATTTTGTTAACTGATTTAATTGTCTCAAGCTTAATATATCACATTTGTTTTTCAACCATACGTATTCACGTAAAAAGTATTACGTGATATCTTCTAGCAACAAGGATGATGCAAAAAATTCTATGACCACATATGTAGTTTGTCTATCAGGAAATTTAACAAACGCCTGCTTATTGTAGCTATTATCTTATTCTTGGTCTAAAATTAATTGAAGTAATTTATCACTTTTCATTCTCTAAAACCTCTATTGTTTTTGCTTACCGCTGAAAATATTTAAAATTTGGGAAAAGTCAGTGGAACAATATGATTGTTAGTATTCAAAATTGAATAGGGTAAGGAATGATGCGTTTAATTAATATGAACAGGTAGGGTCACAAGCATATTAGAAGTGCAAATTTCGAACCTTATTTGGAAATCACTTTTTTCATACTAAATCGAATTCATACCTAAAATTTAATTTTAGTTTGTGTAGCTTAAAAGTTCGTAATGCTAAATTTAATTCCCTAACAATATTCATTCAAAAACAAACAATTTTTACCTGACAAGAAATAGAATTTATAGATTCTTGTAAACACAATCTTAAAAATATATAACTAAGTAATTTTAACGCTCATAAGAGACTTACTCCTTCGAAACTTTTAAGGAGTGAGTCTCATAAGAAACTTAATCCTTAAAACATGGGATTATTATGAATAAAAAGTAACAGAGTAGAAATTTAAAAAAAAGACCAGTCTTTCAAATCGAAAATCTTCTAATCTTGTTACAATTATTGAACAAATTAAGTTAGCAAAATTATGATAAGTTTTATCACAAACTAATTTCGCTTAAATTAAGATAAATCTTTTATGATAAAGTTGCTAAAAGTGATGCGCTTGATTCCCCTGTGATATCTGCGAAACCCTCAGCTTTCTTAAGTAAATACAATTGTAGGGGAAAAGCCTCTTTGTCACATTATATTTGTCAATGTGACAATTTTGCAGCTGCAACAATATGTCGTTTACCGCAAACGAGCAGCTGCAATGATGATGACCTAAGCAAGCGATCATCATCGAAAAAATTATAGCAATATTGATAGATTCTATTCTTTCACCACAATATATAACCCGCTCTCCCGATTATTCCCGTTATTTCTTTTTCCCAACATTTTCTTATCTTCCTTATTCTCTTCTCTCTCAAATCATTGTCACTCCAATAATATGAATTCAAATATCAAAAATATTCCTCAAAAATTATTTGACAAAAATAATTATTTTAATTCATATGTGCAGTTTAATACGAGAGAGATTTAAAAGTCTCTACTTTGCTCAAAAATTTAGGAGATGAATTTTAGGATGTGAAGGTTGGAAAATATTCCCGAAATTATGAAATGAATGTTCATAATAAGTGGTGATTATTTTACTTGAGAGTTGTTTATCATGCTATACCACATTGCTTGTTAGTGTCTTTCATTTCTTTCTTTCTTTTATCACAGATTGTTGGAGTACTTTAAAACGATCGATCAACACTGTTTAATTTACTCTTCAAACAATCATAACACGAAATTTCCCTTTTACTAATTTTGCTATGCAGAAAATGATAAAATCAGTAATGATGAAATTTGTGCAGTATATTTACTGCTTTAAGGAAAGAAGTTTTTGGTAGTATTACAAAATATATTTTGAAGCATCTCATTCTGTGGCGATCAAAAAATTGTTTGATTTTAGAATATAAATTAAATAAAGTGTCACAGTTTAATTTAGAATGGACAAAAACAAATAAATTGTTGAAATTCAATTTTAGAATAGACATTAAATAAAGCATTACAGTCAGTCAACCTTTTCCCTTTTGAGATGAATATTCCATAAAAAAAATTAAATTCCAAAAAAGGTGCAAATATGAAAAATTGAAATGCAACGAATTATTGAATTTTTTTGTCACTGAATTACGAAGATATTATCCATTTTCAAAATATTTGTCTTTAGTTTTATATAAGATTAGAATAATAGTTTACATGTATGATTGAGTTATTCATTCTGCCGACTGACTATAGCATAAATCTTCATTTGCTGCTTATGGAAAAAAGAACTACAAATTTAATTAGGTAAGAAAAAAAGCTTTTTTGTTTAATTAGAATTAGCTCTTAAGATACTATGAATTATTGCATTATATTTTGAAATGGAAATAAATTATGATGAATGAACAAAATCAATTGCAACAATATTTCAATTAATTTTAATTAATTTAATCCAAATTCACTGCACTTACATTATATAATCCTCCTTACAATAAAATTGTCCACTACGTGAATAACATGTTGAACCTCTAAGCGGAATCCGACAGGTACAACAGATCAAACAATTTTCATGCCAACAATTGTTATCAACCTGAAGATTATTGAAAATTATGAGAAGTTAGAAAAATAGAGAAATGAATGAAATTGCTTAAAGATGTGAGTTTAAATAAAATAAATGATGAAGGCTAATTTCTACGAACCTTTACCATATACTTTGCTTTGATCTCAAATCCACAACCATTACAAAGCACTCCACCAGTAAGTGTAGGCGGTATCGTCATATTATCACAATCCTCTGCAAAGAAGCGCTCGCTGCTATCATTTTTTCAACTTAAATTTTATTTGAGTAACTTGCAAAAAAATGACAATACCATTTTAATAGGTACAAAAAATTATTCATAAGCTTATCGGATAAGGTCATCGAATCTGTTGCGCTATTTTCTGGTGAATTTTTAGAAATAGTATGAGTAAAAATTTTACCTTCAATTGATGAATTGAATGTTTGAGTTTTAGGTGAAGCTGTTGATGATTCTCCACCTAAATCTACTATGCTGCAAAATGAAAACAATCATAATGGTCAAGGTTCATAGTTCAGATAAAACTATTGATGAATCTTTAACAGTTTTATCTGAACCATTTCATCTCATCTATCCTAACAATTAATGAAGTTAAATTATTGTCAAATTTCGTCTTACATTAAATTCCCGTGGTCTACACAAATTTAGGACTCGAAAAATCTACTATCTATGACTGAATATTAATGATTTACTATCTAAATTGATTACATTTAATTCTGTGATTGATTAATTTCATATCAAAATCATGATAAAAGCGCTGCAACCATGTAAGAAGGCAACTTTAATGTCGATTTAACTTTATCCAAACAGAGTTGAAATTAAAATTCGCATACTCTTGTAAATGATTGCCATTCTAAAATTTAATTATAGAAAATAACCTTTGCATATTCAGAAAATGGTCGAGATTTTCTGCTGCTATGGGCATCAGTGATGATGACAGTGATAGTGATAATGATAATGATGATGTTAGTGATGATGGGTTAGATAATTTCAATGCACAAGCATCGAGTATCATTCCAGGAAAAGCATCATGCTTATTTCTATTTTCCTCCCAATTTATCCTAGCAAACTCTCTTACCGTATCCAAAAATATCAATGATGTGCACCGCCCCCTCTATTCTTGATTTTTATTGGTTCTCCTATTAGTTCAGAATTCACTGAACTATTTGCTAAATAGTTAATCTTCAGGCCAAAAAAAAATAAAAAGCCAAGATCAAAAATTATAGCTTTAGGTCTTATCATTCTTTTTCATACATTGGCTTTAAGTTTCGTCATCTTTTTTGGAAATTTTCATCATCGTAACTATCAGTACATAATAAATGCTTTAAATAGAATATTTTAAAATAGAAAGACTATTTATTGAATTTTTTTTCTTAAGCAGTACAAATTTTAAATATTATAAGTTAAGGGCAGATTGATGACAAGTAAATACTGAGTGAATCTTGAAAGTTTTTCCATTCCCTCGCAAAGAAAAAAGAAAAGATTTTTCTGTTGTAACTTGCTTTTTTTTATCTTCCCTAAAAAGACGATTATCAAGTTATTTTTTCCGTGTACGGAATTTTAAAAGTAGAAGAAATGGTAGGTCAACGAGATGTGTTTTATCATAAAGACAGCCGACGAGAAGTATTGCATCACGTGAAGTTCCACTTTCTAGCATAACAAATACACTTGCGTCAAATAGCATAGTCATAGTCCATCTCACGTCAACTCAATCCAAAATAATCACGTTAACGTAAGAGGATATCAGATGTTTTACTTGCCAGATATACGTTTGTATTATGGATTGATCCTCGTAGCATAACGCATCGGTCTGAATTGATAAACAAACTGGGAAAAACGTATTTAGGGGGAGATGAAGTGTGTGTTGTTTGTGGTTTGTTGGTTTTGGGGTGTTATTCGGGTAGACGTCTGGGGGATTTGAGTTGTCGCGGGAGAGATGTGAAGGAGACTCATCTTGTTATTTTTATTTTATGTGGCCAATATCGATGGTACTTTCTTTTTAAAAAGCGGTCTAAGAAGTGTAAAATATTTGTACCTGCTGAATTTAGTAACATTTCGACGGTAGTTCAGATTAGTTTATGAACGCTCCGGCACCATTCGAATCGTTTCTGGTATTTGATGGTGAGAAGAAGGTAGCTATCGAAAAAGACACTAAAGTACCTAACGCTGCTATATTTACTGTAAACAAGGAAGATCACACGATTGGAAATCTTCTCAAACAGTGTGTTTCTCGTCGAATAGCATATTTTTTTTTTTTTTTAAACTATGCTTAGTAACAAGAAAATAATGCAATAGTATGGTTATAGTACTGTGAATAAGTATAAATAGTTATTTTGCTTTTCTAACTTTTACTACATCTGTTGCGGAAGTTTTTCGTAAAATTTATTTCGATTATATTTTTTAGCCAGCTGTTGAAAGATCCGCAAGTATTATTCGCTGGTTATAAGTGTCCACATCCACTGGAGCATAAGTTTGTCCTCAGAGTACAAACAACATCTGATACCACCCCTGCGGACGCGCTTACCAGTGCTATCACTGATCTTATGGCTGAGCTCTCCTTATTTGAAGAACGATTCAGAGTGAGTGGACTTTGGCCATATCTTTCTGAAATTTCAGTCCGTTACTCGTAAGTGATCCAGGCATCTGCAAACGATATAGCTTTTGAATATTTTTGGATGATTACTATAAAGCGTGTTTATGAATTTTTGCAAAAATCTGTACTTAAGGTGTTTTTTAACTTAGTGAAAGGATTAAAGTGAAGCATTTGCGATTTACTACATTTACAATTTACCGACTTTCTGATCAATTTGTTAATTTACTTACTGCTTGTTTTTTTTTAGGAAGCCATCAAAGAACGCCGGGAAGCAAACGAATAAATATCGTCGCAGTTATTCAGTTCAATTTACTTGTTTTTAAATCTAAATTCTTACTCAGAAGTGATGTTTGCAAATCATTTGACATCATCTCAGGCTTCATCCTCTTCATCATCATTCTGCCCAACCATATTTCGTGTACGTCGAAAACGAACTGCTGATCCACATGGGGCTTTGGTTATTTCATTGAAGCGCGCAAAACAAATACCAGTCGTAGCGGAACCGATCATTTGTTTTCGCGCTTCAACAACTGACTTAAAGGTATTTAATTGAATCCATTCCTGTCTATGTAATGATTTAAATAAAATGGTAAAATTGCTAACATGGTGACATGGTGAGCTTTTTTAAAGATGCTTGCATGTCTGCATAGCAAAAGAGGTATTCTTTCGAAAAACCGACAGCCGAAACTACTTTTGCTTTTTTAGTTAATTTTGTTGGGGATAAGCTACTTACCTGATATTCCTTCTAATTATTGTTAATGCTCATACAGTTATATCGGATCGGATCCCTATGCTGTTAATTCAAAAATCTGGAGTGAGTTAGGAAATAAACATGTTTAATTTCTGTTTTTATGAGAAATATTTAACATATGTTATTTTCTTTTCTCTATTTCTACTCTGAATTAAAAAAGTGATGTGAAGGATTATATCACAATGTTCTATTAGTTTTATAAGTATAGCTAAATATAGAGATAATTTAACTGTTCATAAATTTGTCTTCTAAATCAGAGGTGGCAATATTTATAATAATTTATTCTAGCTGGAGTTCAGTGGTGCTATTCATTCACAACATTTCAACATCATCGATGTGGATCCACATCAGGACACTGTGAATACAAAAAGATCACCATCGCCCTACACTGATGAAGCAACAGAGAACAGTAGCAGTAAGAGTGACGTTTCATCCAGTAATCCTTTGGAACTAATGAAAGATTTTGTGGAAGAACCATCGTCTAGCATCAAGGTAATTGGTGAGACGACCATCAAATCGAGTCAAATAACATTAAATGGAGAGCCGTTGGTTGCGCTAAGCAATCAAGATGATGAAGTTAGTTGCATTCAGTTAAACAAAAAGATTAAGATCCCTTGTTATTAAATTTTATCTTTTAGAGAAGGGATTCTTACGAGTTTTCTTGAATTCAGAATAATACAGGACGTGAACACTGGTCGGTTCAAATCCTTGTTTTTTCATCGGGCTGTTATTTGTGCACGCAATGTAAATTTGCTGTATTGATTTACTACAATAAACTTAAATGATTAAAATATTAATTTGGATAATGCTATATTTAGGACTTCATTTTCGATTATTATTGGAGTTCCAGGGCAAATGGATGTACGGCCTACCAAATTCGAGATGTAATATTTTTCTTATTTTTTTAAATTCTTATTTTTTATTTTTTTGATTGCTTATTGCATTTAATCCTGAATTGCACTCGAACTGAAATATGATCGCAAAAATTTTATGGGTTCATTGCTTTTAGGTTCGCTTAGCAAATGCTGATGATTTATTGTGTGATGGTGAAGATACAGAAAGCAGTGCAGAAGACGATGAGGATTCGAATGATGAGAATAACTGGCGTAACGATTATCCTGATGAATC